GTTCTTTAGTTTAGTCGTCTACAAAGAATTTTCCTTTCCCAATATTTGAAATTACTAATCAGCCTACTCTTCACCACCTTTATTTGACAGATAGTGAAGTGCGTTGCAATTGTATGATGTTGGGTGCCCATAAGACACCTATCGCTATTCGCGGTACATCAGGATAGGTGATTATTTTCTATTTCAGCATGGATTCTGTCTTAGAGGCGTTCAGCCATAATCCTAGAGATGGCAGCTTGGTGGCACTAGCTTTTCAGCTAACCGCAGTTACCAATTATCTGAATAAATGGTTCCTCTCGTACTGGTTTGGATTACTGTTTAGACAACGAACTCATCAGTAGGGTAACCGCAGTTACCAATCATTTGAACCAATAAAATTCCTCTCGAACTGGGTTGAATTACTGTTTATACAACGAGCTCATCAGTAGGGTAAGAGAAAGTAGAAGAAAAGCAGTGCTAGTAAAACAAACATAACAAAATCAAATTTTCCCTCATTTGACCAATATCAATTTCCTACAGAATGGCACCCGTAGCTACGTTTTGAGGGTGGATCAAGTGGTCATGATCGATCCACTACTGAGAGATTTAAACTGATATATGCAAGCGGCACGGACCATAAACGGAAAAGAGTGTAATGTGGACGATAGAAATGACGTGGACTACCCCACCTGCAAGCAGTACAAGTGGTAAAATAAGTATAACGTCGTTTCATTCATTCACAATAGTATTGCTATGGAATGCAAGTTTCACGCGTTCTGACATACGTTTCGAAGTCTACAAGGCAACAAGGCAGACACAAAAACAAGAGCCAAGATCGGAAGACCGGAAAGCGCATCGCACGGTTTTTGGAGATGTCGAAAGACATAATGTTGCATCTTAATGGTGTAGGGCCGACGCCGGATGATGTCAAGATCGTCTGTTCGAGCGATTATACATTTGCTGCCTCAAGACAGACCGTAAGTCCGTGTCAGGGTGTGTGCTAACAATAGACGGTGATGTTGTGCTATAGTTGTGCGTGAAGCAATCGGGTGTTAGCACGATGGAGGCAAGACTTTGTGCCCGCGAAAGAGGCTAGACATGAGATATCGAGCATGAAGAAGTAACATGCCGCATGATAGATGGACACGATGATCTGAGAAGAGGCAGCATGGGACAGATGACTAGACAATATGAAAGAAGGTCAAATATGATAGTTGGCAAGATAGTCTCAGTAGTGTAAACTCGTTATTCGAAGCAAGGTGCCTTACTTGATAATACATGCTTGTTTAACTTACATCTCCACCAGTTTTCCTACCACGACTTGAGGAGCCGATTACCCCTCTGCCAGTCAAGGCTTGTCAAGAGGTATTGAATGGGCTGAAGCTGCGCATGTGTTCCCTCATGCTGATGAGGGTGTACAAGCAGACTACCATCAACATCTCGATGCTGAGAAGAGCACCTCAAGCGCTAATGAATGTGAGCGTACATTTCAGGTTGATCTGTCACTATGCACGCAAAGAAACCGTGATGACAAGATTCGCGTATTCAGGGAATATAATGGCAGGTAGTCTGACGAAGTGGTTGCCAGCACCAAGGATAGAAGAGCTGCGTGCGATGTTCACTCTAGATGCCATATTGGATGACGTTAAGGATTCGAGCCGATCTGAACGATATTGATTTGACAGGCATTAGAAGTCCCGAGGCTTAACTACAAAACTTGTTACAGGCAAGGTCCGATTTCACCTGATTGGCTGATAAGTGACAAGTCGGCAGATGGACAAAGACACCCGTTCTCCATATGGGATCAGCGACAAGTAATGGCACGCGCGACGGGGGAATCGTAAAAAACACCAGTGTTCGCCTAAAAAAACACCGTTACGATGAGGCTATCCATTAACCTTGTTTAATATACACAAAAGGGTAGAGAAAATACCACTTTCGATTGAACGTCGCTAAAAACGTTTCCAAGATGAGTCGGACCCTCCGCTTTTTGACCGGAATGCGGTCGAACACCTTCGGTCTGTCGCGGGCAAAAGAGAGACTTTGGATCACATTTTTTGGGGTTGTCCAACCGCCCAGGGTTGCTGGCTTACACTCATAACCTACCGGACCGGATGCACGGAAACTCCGACCAGTATGCAGCTTCATGCGAGTTTTTGCATGTCACGGACGTCCCCGCCGTTGAATCCGATCATTTCACGGCGGCTGCTGAGCGCGTTTGGACATTCAATGGATGCTTATGTGTGTCAATGGAAGCGGATGTGGTGGGTATTATGTTTAATATGTATCACGATTATATGGGTTCAGCGCGATCGGGTCGCTCACGAAGGTCTTTCCGTCACTTTGGCGGGGTGTATGTACGAATACATAGTTCAAAGTTTTCGGCAATTACACGCACTAGCGATGCGGGAGTGTAGGAAGCTACACACCCAGGTGGCCGGAACTCGTCTAATACAATGCATCGGGCTGCTCACCATGGCCCCATCCAGAGCACCGCACACAGTGGTGAGACTCGTCCAACCACCGGATCATTCTACACCGGCGTTGCTATCCTGGCTTAGGTCTTTCCAGACGTCTTGTACACCATAATTTCGTATAATAGACAGTCTGTTCCCTCTCTCTCTTAAACGGACTGCAGTCTTCACTTGCGAGACGACAGCTCCTGCAACGGCGCAGGTACAAGCCAAGGGCTTGCCGGCAACATCTGCAGCGACGATTTCTGAACCGGTGGAGCTTGCCGCTGTTGAAACATAAGCGGCCTCGGACGATACAGTCTTTGCAGCGGCGGGATTGGCTGCGTCGTCGCGTTTGAGAGCGAACGGTAAGATGGTGGCGGTATGATTAACAGCATTTACATTTTTACACACCCATTAGTTGTTAATATGGACTATTGACGCTCTCCGTAGCATTACGTCGGCAAGGACATGTCTCCTCGGCATCATCTATGGGAGTCAACAAAAAGTAATCCAACGATGGCTTTGCGCAAAAGATATCTCGTGCAATTAGAAAGTAGACCAACCCACGCCATTTTATTATATGGTGTGATCGGTCGTGCTATATCAAATCTAAAATACACTCGCGACGCTAGTTAGCCGTGTTGCACAAAACCTGTCAGCAGCAGCATTACCAACCTGCTATTACTTCCTCAAGAGGAGAACAAGTATAACCATGTTATAATACTGCAATAAATGCCGATGGGAAATAGGACGGCTTGTGCCAGCGTGAATTCAAGTAGACCGGTGCCATATACTGCAGTCTCCTTAACTACACAGATCATTTAGCTCCAATATCGATGGCATGTATTTCACACAGCATCGAAAGGACCTAATGCATTGTGCCAATACAAGAAGCCAGCAACGTCGGGTTGATCGCGGACACTGTAAGTCGCATCTAGACGTTAGAAACCTCTAGCATTAAGTTGATCATGGTGACCATGATCGCTCCAGGCGCCCTGCAACCATCGCCACAACATTATTAACCAGCTGTCAGTTCTCGTACCTCATTTTTCTTTACGCACACCCACGTACCTGGACTCTACTAGTAGTAAGAAATTTGCACCAGCAAAAGAGTTGTTACACTCCCAGAACGCGACACCAGCGTGGGTTTGCTCAACATCAATAAAAACGATACATAGAAACATACCAGCAAAAGCAATTTACACAACAAAATGTGGTTTAGTTTGTTAGTCACTCAGTCATCAGCCACATCTGAAAAGCACAATTTTTCTATCTTTCTCGCATTTCTTTGGCTATGACTCAATCGACTGCAACAGCCCGTCCCATGTTTACTACTATTGTATACTCAGATGAATGGTGGCGATCTTTAGAGACGGCGGGAGGGACGACCGAGAATGAGAAGTACAGGAGCAATATCGATGAATGCGCCGTGACACAGTCGACGTGACGGTATGCACGTGCAGCGATTACTGAGCGTGTGCAAGAACTAGGCCCTGAGCAGGCTATCAACAAATTGGGACTGCAGTCCGTTTAAAATGCGGAGTGTCCGGCTTATCTTATAAACGTTTCTAGCGAAGCTCAATCGAAAGTGGTATATTCTTTACCCTTTTGTGTATATGTTAAACAAGGTTATTGGATAGCCTCATCGTAACGGTGTTTTTTAGGCGAACACTGGTGTTTTTTACGATTCCCCCGCGCGACGAGGAGATACATACGCCATGCGATACCGCCATGAGGTGATGGGCGGACTGGACGTACGCCATGTGCAACTTGACCTGGCCAAGTTGCAGTGTCGGTCAAATGCATGTTTTGTTGCTAACAGACGAGAGTAATTTGGACTGAATTTGTATTACACATGTACCTCCTACATTCTTTGCACACATGTCGACTACAACGCTTTACGCCTAACAGCAAGAGCACTGCAGTGCCATTATACATCAATGTAACACGACGATGCATATCAGGCGTAGCTGTGTTCTGCTAGCGATAATCGTTTACCACTTAGAGGTCAACTAAGCATCACAAGGAAGCATTTCTTGTCTTTTGCACAACTAGACGTCCTCAACCAATTGATTTGTGGTTCGATGGATAGACGATCGAGTGACTTTCGTCCGCTTGTGAAACTCATGAGCAGAGACGCCATTACCGGTGTAATACCGCAACCGCCTACCGAGCAAAACAGAAACGTCTCGAGCAGCTTCTCATGGCAGCTGTCGGACCAATTAGCCAAGCGACTCCATGAGCAATTACCGGTTTTTTCCCGGTTATTTGCTCTCCAATCGAATGCTCCGTAATCCTGGATTTTATCGGACACAGTCATAAACCAGCCGCGTTGCGCCCTCCGACCCAAGAGCATCGAAAAACAGTCAGCTGCCCCTGTCGACCGTCTAATTGTCAGCTAGAAAGCTCATTAGTGCCTTCTCTCGCTCTCTCTCGCTCTCTCACAATCGTACTTACGGACTTAGTAACTTGTCGACAGCCCATTATTGTCGCACGTCGCACACCCACAGCCACAGCATAGAACGAGCCGAGCGCTTTGACCACAAGCAGACTCGACCACAGGCGATGGCAGACGACGGCGAGAACTACCGCAACATGGACCAGCAGCAGTTTGACCGGCGCCGCGCCGAGGACGAAGCGCGGCAAGACGCGCTGCTGGACCAGATCCACGGCGGCGTCGTGGGGCTCAAGAACCAGGCGCACGCGATTAATGACGAAGTCGTGGAGCAAAATGTCATTATTGACGACATTGACACCGTACGTGAGGTTTTTTCTCTTTGGCGCTGCTTTGTCTACAAAGTGGGGACGAGGACGAACGAGACAGAGAGGGAAAGAAAAAAGAAGCCGACTGACTGACTGACTGACTGACTGATTGGGTCTATGCAACGGCTGTTGTTGTGTATAGAGAGTGGACACGGCAACACAAGACATAGCACGGGAGGAACAAGCTACGCGTGAAGTCAATGCCCGCAAAAAAAAGGTGCGCTACTGAGAAGAGCAGCTCCTGTGCACTGCGCGTTGAGCTGCAGTTGTGCGCAGCAGTGGTGTGCTGACGCCGTGTTGTTTTTGTGTCGTTTGCCTTGTGTCAATTGGTGGTATGGAGCAGGCGTGCAAGTTATACGGCGTGATTGTGACGCTCGTGGTGATCCTTATCATTGTGCTTGTGATTCCTGGATCCGGTGCATGAAGAGCGCCGCTCGTTGGCGCTGGTGGTGGTAGTGGTTGCCGTCAACACACTAGAGGCTACGGTGAAGGAGCAGTTGCTTCTAGTTTTGTTGCCACTACCACCTCTACGACCTGTGTGGCGCAGCGCAGCTGCTCTATACGCGACGATCTCTGCCTACAACTTCCTGTATCTCGTGGTGGTACGTTGCCGTTGCGACAGTAGCGGCAAACCTTTTCTGCGCCGAAGAAGGTCTGGGGATTGTCCACTTTACCTCAATACAGCGATTTACATGACTTGCCTCTAGACGCGCACGAAAGTGCACTTGTTCTTCCCTTGTTGGAACCGATTCGGCTGCTGGTCAGGCCGTTCGCCCGGCTGTCCTGCAGAAACTAGTGGGCTACACCTGCTACTGCTGACTGCAACGCCACGCGCCTCACGATCGTCATCGAAGAACGAACTGCCAGTCAGCACAGCATTTGTAACGAGGCGTTCGCGTCGTCATCAGAAGTATCGGCTCAAATGAGCTTTTCGTACTGGATGCCGCTAGGACAGGACGAAGCAAACACCTGCAACGCATATCGACAGCTCACGCGACGACCGTCCAGCACCGGATCGTTTTTCTGGATTGGACATTGGCACAACGCAGAAGACCTGGCGGCAAACGTGTCCAGCGGGCGCTCGTGAACAGGCACTGGTCGTCAGCACAAGCGGCAGGTCCTTCTTTGTCCCAGGCGAAGCGTCGGCAGTTACTGCCGTGTTCCCGACCGTCGCACGAAGCGGAAACCGTTCGCGCCGAGTCGCCGGACGGCCCTTTTGCCCGTCACCTGTCGACTGCGAACCAGTCTCTGCATTCGCATCTGAGGTTTGTGGCCTCATCTCTGTGTCCACGACGTCAGGTGCTGGTGCATTGACCTGCACGTTGACAGCAAAAGGAAGGGGTCATGTGTGTCAAGACAGTGAACGACTTGTCGACACTACACGGCACGTGTGTGCCTTACAGACACTTCTCTTGGATACTGCAAGTGAGCAAAGTGCGAGCTCTTGCTGCATGTTGGGTTTGCTGCAGATGGACTACTGGAAGAGAAACCGATGGCATCGCACGATACGTTTCTGATGGTCCGAACGCTCTGCCGACGACGCAAGAGACACTTTCCACGACCAGAGGAGACGTCGAAGACGCCAATCGAGCAGCAAATGGAGTGCACCTGCTCGAGGACCAGGAGACAGCAGGCGGAGGACACGTCCCGAACAAACAGATGCCAACGAAGCGATCAATGCCGAGCAAAATTGTCACCTACTGACATGGCCACGACACGTGCATTTGTTCGCGGCAGCTTCTCCTCTTCGGCCAGTAGACCTCTTGCACTTCTGCCGTACCGCACGACAGCTCGGAACGGTACACATCGACTCGGCCGTATGTACCGTGCAAACGCACTTCCTCGTCACTATCGACTGTCTCCAGCTGTTGCAACACCTCCTTCTTCTCTCTATGTGCTGCTCTTGACCCCTGCACGCTGCACTTCGCGATGGCTCTTGACCGACACCTCCTGGTGCTTCTTGGGCGTATTGTACCAGAAGCGCACGAACCCGTCGCGCGTGGCAAAGATCGTGTGGTCTTTGCCAATGCCCACGCCAGTGCCTATGTGGTACTTTGTGCCGCGCTGACGAATGATTATATTACCAGCCACCACGCTCTGTCTGCGAATAGATTACCATTACGCAATGTTGACAGCAGTTACGTGAGCAGTCCGTCCAATTATTGACCAGCGACAACACCATCAAACAGCATATACATGTGAGCATGTACCCTCCAAACTTCTTGACGCCGAGACGCTTGGACTCGGAATCGCGGCCGTTTTTCGTCGACCCGCCAGCCTTTTTCGACGCCCAGCGACAGGGAATCGAGAAGATGCTCTCGCTCTTCATTCCAGTGCGTGCTGTGGCGGAGACGCTGCAGCCAAAGACGCGGGACGTGCACAATGCCAGGGCCATGGTACGTCAGCGCTCGTGCGGTTTTGACCACTCAGAGCGTTTGCGCGTACCCCGTTATTCGATAGTAGAGGTCCGTAACCGGTCGACGGCTGGACGATTTACCTATCATCTAGAATAGTCGAGAAACTAACAACGTCGAATGTATTTTACAGCTACTGCAGTTTCAGATCAGTCAGAGCAAAAGCACGAGCGAGAATGACGTATGTCACTGGAGGGACTGTCGTGCACAAGCGCTCGCCGTGGCGGCTATCCATCGTGAGCGACACGTTCTGGGGCGTCGTGAACTTTGTCGGACTCTTGTACGTGGTCGAGCGTTGCAGTCGCGCCAAACGCAGCAGACTAAAGCGGCGACGGCGGTGTGTGTATTTTATGTGTCGTGTAAATTACATTCTCAACAGCGTGACGTCGTTATTTTCGGTAAGTTTCGAGTCAGGTTTTGCATGCACGAGTGTTTTTGTTACCAGTACTTTTTGTTGCCGGTACTTTGTTACCGGTATGTTGGTGCCGCTGAAGTAACTGTGGTCGTCGTGGTGTGCGTGTACGATGACGGAATGGCAGGACGTGTCAACGACCGCTCGGGCCACTGACCGCATTGGCTCCGCGCCTCACAGTGGCCGTGGCAGCAATGGACGTGGAGGAGGTCCCCGTCGACCCATGGGACGAGTGGAGCATCGGGGCGCGATCAATATGCCACGTACGTCGCGCCTCTGTACAGAGCCTGAAGTGGTTTGTTTGTGTATCTCTCTATCTGGTGGACAACGTCCTGACAATTGTCATTGCTGTGTACGTGCGGGCAGTGGGCGGAGGCTGCTGCGGTTAGACGATGCAACGCAACTGCACGTTGCAGCACTACAAGCGCCACACCGAACGCCATTGGGCGGTCGTCGCTTTGACACGCATCGGGCCTCGCGTGTACCCACTTTGCCCAACGAGTCGGACCCGCACCCACCCGCTCATCGCCGTCAGCAATAACGCTATTATCCAGTACATCGGTGCCAGCTCTACTTGGTCCGTCGCTTTTTCGCCGCTCCCTTTGTGATGTTCTTGAGCTTCTTGCCCTTCTTCTTGCGCTTGGCCCCTTCTTCGCCTTCGTTGTCGTCGTCGAACGTCTTGCCCTTGTTCTTGCCCGCGTTCTCCTCGCGTCCCAGCACTCGCTTCAGAGCGTTCAGACTGCGCTCCTTCTCGGTGGCTTCGGCGCCCGTCGTTGGCAGAAAGTGGTTGCGCTTGCCCTTGACCTTGCGCTCCGACTCCCCGGTCCGCATCTTGTCAAACTTGCCCATGGACGCCGTTGCAAACTGCACCTTTTCCAACGTCCTGTTCGTGCCCTCTTTCCCGCGCTGCTTGGCCTTCGTGTCGGCCGTGTCCATCAACTCGACCGGAATGCCCGTAGGCGTTCGACCCGCAATACCCACAAGCTGCTTCCCCCGTCCCTGCTTGCGGTTGTTCGCCTGGGCGCGCAAGTTCTTGTCCACGCGAGCGCGTTTCTCCTGCTTGCGCTTCGTCCACGGGTCGTCCAGGTCGCCCGCCTTCGTCTCGACTGCCCAGTCCTGCATGTCGTCGCCTGCACGCTGGTACCCCCACGCATGGCCCCACTCGCCAGTCTTCTCGTCCAGCACCTTGCGACTCTTTTTGCTCTTGTCAATGCCCTTCTCCTTGGCAAACTTCTCCCACTTGGTCTCGACCTTGGGCTTCGGCAGCGGCTTCTCGCGCGGGAGCACTGTCTCGGGCGCCGGAAGCAGCGCGAGCGGCCCCATGTCCGACATCTCCCGGGGCAGCTCAAAGATGTGGTTCACCAGCAGCTGCACATTCTCGCGCGCGTGCTGCGCCAGCGCCTGTTCGTTCTCATACGCAAACGGATGCGTGTCGAAAGCCGCCAAGTTGCCCAAGTCGTAGGTCAGGTCGTCTTCCTTTTGCACGTTGCTCGTGCTGCCTTCGGCGTACGCGGCCGGCGCGATCTCGCAGGCTTTCGTGACCATAGGATTCTACGCCGACAGTGTGTTTACATACTACGGCTCGACAAACGCGTTGGACGAGAATGGGTGGACGGGAAGCGGTCAGGTCGAAAGGTCAGATAGACAGACAGACAGACAGACGGGGGGGGGCGTGAAACGGCGTCGAACGGTTGTTTTTTCAACGGCGTTGGACAAGTTTAGCCAATAAGACCACAGGAAAAAGAGGCGGTGGAGGAGGAGGCAATGGCTACGTCCGATCCAGCGCCTGTTCGATCCGAATGGAACTTGCCGTCGATGGTGTACTCGGCGAGCAGTCTCGTGTCCCGCATGCCAGCACTCAAGTGAAAGAAGAATAAGGGCCTTTCTGACAGCCTGCACAGCACAGAGTCCAAGCGATTCGACATCGTCCAAGCGATGTCGAATCGCCGCGGCTCGTGCAGTGCCAGACAAGTGGATCCCTCGCATTGCGTAACGAACAGGAGGTCGTCTCGTGCCACGCAGCGCCTCGGGAACTGAATCGACGGGGATCAATGCCCGCAGCATGCGAAACAGGCGACGAAAGAAAAGGCGCGAGCATCCCGTGTTGGTGAGTGGTGATCCGATGGTAAAGTTTGCGCGAGATCGCTGTCGCGCGTGTGGACCGTTTCGGTATCCAGCAAGTGCAAGGGGACTCGGGAGCATGGCCCACACGACCGCACCTCGTGCAGTTTCTGCCAACAGGTTTGAATGTAGTCCATCATACTACAAAATCTCGAGTGTTCAAGTCGACGACACTTTCACACAGTGTACGTCCTCACTAGCAACGGCCAGATCTCGGCCGCAACCTTTGCAGCCGCAGCGCCAGTGCCACTTTTCTACTACCCGTTTGCCAGCTGGTTGCGCGTCGACAACGACTGGCTTGACGGTGGCACCTGCTCGCAATCTCTCAGCGTACGTCGTTCACGACGGCTCGCGTGGGGGTGATTGCTGAGAAACCATCACGCAGCATCCAGGTCCTACACCGTGAACCACAGCCGTTCGGCGCCGCGTGCCATTGGCGCTCGACAGCCGCGGTGGGCACCAATTGGTACCGGATGGGCGGTCCGATTCGACTGGACTAACGGGCTATCAATCTCTACAACATCCAGCAGGTCACCGAAACACTTGCTGGCTTCTCTTCTATCGATTGCGACGAAGAGGAGTCGAGATTTGATCTCCCGCAACCCCACAGCACATGTATCGGCATTTGTCACGGAAAAAGCTTTACGAGCTGTCGTTCCAACGTTCACTTCCATCCCAGTTTCCAAGCTATCTGTGACTGGATAGGAAGGATACAAGAGGCGACTGCATCGGGAAAGATGTTGACGTTCGATGGTTCATTCCGAGACCTGCTATCTCAGCACGTGTCAGGTACTTTGTGGGTGGCTACAAGATCGAGAACTAGCACGCCACGTCACGCCAGACAGCTCTCGCCGCGACCCCGTCTTCGTCGGTGCGTGCTTGCAAACAAACGCATGGCGCTGTCTTACCTCGTCTCTTGACGCTCAAGTACTGCATCTTCGTCGCTGCGACCTGATTTACGATCGCATGGAGCGTTCTGTGACGAGGACCTAGACCATGTTATACGTCGATCACAAGGATAGTCTGCTCCCCGCATCATTGCTACTGCAAGCTACGAGGTTGCCATAGACGTGGGGTGTCAGCGTCGCTATCATCGTCGTCTTGTCCACTCATGAACTCAGTGGCCAGAGTGCCGATGCTACAGAATCGGCCGAAGCTGAGTCAAGCTCTTGTTTTCTGGCTCTCTACCCTGTGCACAATCGACTGTCGAGCTTTAAAAAAGCCAGCGTTATCGGGTTCTGATCCAACCAGTGCTTGTAGCGCGTCACTTTCGTACCAGAACTCCTACGCTATTCTCGACAAATACATGCTGTCGAACGAAAGCTTTGGCCGAAGAAAGCTGGTATGTTCGCGCAGCTCATGTGTAAATCATGGGTGTTCCGTGGATGCTGGCAGCTCTTCAAGTCGAGCACTACTATATCCGCTACAGGTCGCATACTTACGATTGAAAATGTACATGCATTTACACTGTGTTTTGAATTCTAGAACGAATCGACGAGAAGCAGCAAAAGTGCACTAGTTTCGCCTCCGTGAGCCTGGCAGCGCTAATTCTCGTTCCAGCAAAGACCTGATGTACAGGTGGATCAGCTTCCTCTGCTTCTCGTCATGTATTTTTCCCACGCACATCCAAGCGCACGAGGTCTTTTGGGTATTCAATACGTCTTGGCCTCCCCCTGTCCAACCACTTTGCCAGCTCTCGCGTCTTGGCGTTTTCACTTTTATATGCTGCCTCAATTATCTTGATAAGTTCGTCTTCGCCAAAGATCGTATCCAGCTTCTTGGCCATCTCGCTCTCACCTTGACGTGTGTTAGCACGGCGTAAATAGCCTGCCCAAGCTCCGAACGCTGGAGGTTCAAACATCAACACAACACGTTTGCTCAAGTCAGTTTCCTCCTTTGCCTGTACCATCACGTCGTCCAGCTTGAAAAACTTGAACAGTTGCTCAGCGTCTCGATGATCGTTTTTCCACCCCTCAAATAGCTTCTTCTCCAATCTGACTGCGAGGTCCGTTAGACGCTCGTCCCCGGTACTCTTCGCCACAGTGAGCATCGATGCCACCGCTGCGTCTTTGTGTTTATCGATCAAAGTCTTTACCACTTCCTCGTCAGACTTTCTCGCGCGAATGAGGTTCAAGCAGTGGACCATGACCTCCACGTCGGTGTCAGTGAAAGGAACTGCTGCGCCATTCCCACGCCCATGCTGCACAAGAGCAGCAATTGACGGTCTATTTCTCGCCCTCGCGAGGTTAACGAACATTTTCGTCATGATTTTCATCAGCATCCACGAAGTCGAAATCTTTGCAAGTTCGTCGTACATCCTCTCTTCGACGTGGCTCTGTCTTTTCAGTAGTGGCTTTTGCGCAGGACCGTCCCGATTGTCCACACCAAGCGAGCTTGACTGGTCCACTTGCAGCACTGCGTCCGTTGTTGCTAGAACCATTGCACCGAGCAGCAGAACGGCAGCAAATAGACGCATGGCGGGTGGGTGATTGAGCAAATTGCACAATGAGCTATCGAAGTAGGACCGGCAAGAGAAAAGGCTCGGGATGTGCCTTCGTCTGCAATCGTCTGCTGGCAAACTCGTTCGGCAATGGCATGTATTTTCTGCCTACTTATTGACTGCCCTACAAGTTCGCCTGCAGACGATGGCACACCATTCACTCGTCCTGTCGTAGAAATGGCGTACGTAAACGGGTCCTGCTGCGTCTCGAGCCAGCAAACCCCCAAACGTGTAGTAAATGCTGCAACGATCAGCCACGCGCCGGCTCTTTGAATGCTGCCCGTTGTAAAACGATTTGACGGTCGTCCCTCTTGACGTCGTCATAAAATACCAGAAGGACGCAGGCAAATCGCCCGAGACTCGTGGTAGGCACCACCACTTATGTGGCGCAGGTGCTAGGCCGAGTACGCAAAGCGGCTCGGTACCGCTCATTCCTCAGCTCGTTTGAACCAGTGCATTCGATATCTGGAAAAAGCTGTTGTCTCAAGCCAGTGCGTGCGCAGTAGTCGTGCCTACTACTATCATGCCGTCGCTCCCAGCTGTCGTGTGTGCAAGACGATCGCATGACGCAACGAGTTGCCCACTCACTCGGACCACACTGTGGCAAGTACTCTTTTGCCTCACGCTGAGGTTCGTGCGATGTGACAACCCTCAGTAGGCACACGGTACTAGCAACATCAGCCCATATGACTTTGTGTGCGCGCGATTAAGGGCTTGATGGGTCACTGAGGTGTGACCCACAATCGTTCATAACTGCCTACGATATGCTGCTCTCATGAACGGGGCTTTGTGTCGCGAAACCAGCACGTCAATCGCTACGTGTCGCTCCTTGCATCATTCCTTCGGCATCTTGGGAGTCACTGAAATTGGGACTTCATCTTTCTGTCACTCTTTGCTTCGACGGCGCTATGGCTCCTTCTGCATTCAATCGGTCTCAATCCGATTTCAACCGGCTCAAGCAACGCAGGTCGACTCAAACATCGTTCGGTGCATTGGCATCTGCAGATAGGAGGGATCGTCTGGTGCTGCGATCGCAGGACAGGGCACTGGTGGAAAAAAGTGCGGCGTCGAATGGTTTTTGCGGGTTGTTTCGATCGGCTTCTTCCCGTAACCTCACGTGAGTTAGCAACATTTGCAATCGCTCATGTACGCTGCGTTGTTCCTCGCTTATCGTTACTCACCGTTTCGGTGTGTGGCAAGCAATACACACGAATGATGACGTCGAATGTTGTGCCAGTCTTCCGGACATCGTACAAATGCGATAGTGGCCCGTTTGGAATAGTACGACAGTCAGGCTTTGTCAGTGATGGATTCGCCAACCCCTGCCTTTGGGTTGCAGAGTACATTCTTCAGAAGCACAACGGGGGGTCTGCGCCAACAATGGTGCCGTCAAGTCATGTCGAGTCTGGGAGAGGCAGCGCACGCTCACTGAAGCCGAGTTGACAAGAAGATGAACGTACCAATGTGCGTTCCTTATCGTCTTGGGGCCTGAACGACGAATGGCCACATGTTTGATGAGCTTGCAATGTGCAATGTACACTTTCATTCGCAGAATAGGTCAAGCCAAGCTATGGGCGAAGGGCTCTGTACTGTCACCGAGCCACGGTCAAGAATGAGCTTGTGATCTATCATTGAGGTAAGTCATGATTGATTGTTCTCACACCAGTTTGGATTCAGGGCCTCATGTCCTCTTGGATTCAGGGGCTTATGACACTTGACGTCTTCCTCGTTGACTGTTGCAGGCAAGCCAGTCATCACATCACAGCGAGTTGTCGGATATGTAACGGGGCAGCCCGTTACATGAAATTGTCACTTTAAGGAAAGTGACAATAAAGAATATAAAGATGGATATTCTTTAAAACAATATCACCAAAGTGGTGATATTGAAGGGTCGACCAAAGGGTCTGTTCATTGGTTGATATCGTGATGATATCAACCCACCAATCGCCGCAAGACGCGCGCAATGAGTGGTGACGAGACGTCACCATACATGCAGTTATATTAGTATAATTGAATTAAGTCAAACGAAGAGACAGTAGTTTAAAGACTTAATTTATTAATATAACAGTTCTACTTTTACCCTACCTACGCTTCCTCGCTTGCCACGTGTACGTCCGTCGGGGCACCCAAATCCCTTGCGTTAAGTTACGCAAGGGTGTGCCCCGTTACACCTGGTAGCACTTTTTAGTCCTTCCAAGGACCACATCATCCAACATGAACATGTTGGATGAAGAAGACACCTTTCACGCCACGCGTGAAGGGTTTACCCATTTGAGTGACATCGAATGGGGTGCGGTAGAACGAATGAGTTCTACCGTAGGCGAACTCGTCGTCGGCACCATGTTGGAGTCTCTAGACAGAGACCAACAACATGCCGCTATCGCCAAGTTCATTCAAATTGAACTTGCTCTCGAGAGGGAGAAAGTAGCCTTGCTTCACCAGCAAGGCTCTCAACAGGCCGAGCAGTTGAGAGAACTCGGTGCTCAACAGACGGAGCTGTTGAGACAGCAGCAATTCCATGCTGCTGTGGGCGGGACGGCGCATGCGCGTCGTCCCGAAGTCATGAAAGTCGACATCTCCAAGTACAGTGGAGTCCCGGAGGACTCCCTGCTACTATGGTTTGTCGAACTCGACAGAGCCCTAAGGGCTCGTCGCGTCGAAGATGAGCAAATGAAACTCACATTTGCTCAGACCCACTTGGCAGGGCGTGCCAAAACTTGGTCCCTGGGACTCGAGAGTAGCGACCCAAATGTGTTTAGGTCGCTAGAAGACTTCAAGTCCCGGCTCAGACAAACGTTTGAGCCGCCACGTGCTGAGTTCAGGGCTCGCTCAGAGCTCCTGAAACTCAAGCAGGGTAAGCGTGATGTGCACGCTTACGCACAACATATACGACTTCTTGCGAGTAGTATAACTGCCAACCCAGTACATGAACACACGTTGATTACGGTGTTCATGCAAGGGCTCGCAGAAGGGCCCGTCAGGAGCCACCTGTTCCGCCTTGAGCTGAATACGCTGGAAGATGCGATATCAGCCGCGGAACAGGAAGACTTTAGCATGAGACATGCTCATGCTAGCTCAAACTCTTACCGTCCACCGAGACGACAAGAGATCGGAGGTCCAGAACCAATGGACCTCTGCTATGTTGAGAGCGAGAGACCTCGCTCTACAAACAACAAGCGATTGCAGAAGTTCAATCGCTGTCAGAAGTTAGGGCACTACGCACATAAGTGTAGTGCTCCACGCCCAGTACCAAGCAGTACTGAGCGAAATGGACGACCATTTGCCAGAAAGGGCAATGTGCGTGGGTCCATCGCTGTTGCGAAACCGCAACAGCTAGACGGACCACCAACAAATGGTCGGGGTCAGTAGGGGCGGAGCGCCCTACTGATATAGCAACCCCAAGAGAATTTGCAAATCTCTTGACGAAAGTTGCTCCAGATACACAATCATTGTGTGTCTCTGCACCTGGTGATGACGTTTCGCTCATCACCTTGAAGTTGGAAGATACAAATGATTTGTCACTTCGTGCCCTAGTAGACTGTGGGGCGTCGAACAACTTTGTTCGTCGCCAGTCACTAGAGGGTCGTAGGCTCAAGTTCGTTGAGCGCGACATTACCCTAACGAGGATGACGGTGCGCCTTGCAACAGGCGCATCGATAACCGTTGAGAAACGTGTAGTAGGAATCCACTACACGTTAGAGGGCGAACAGTACGATGATGACTTCATCGTACTAGATCTGGATGACAAATTTGATGTCATCCTGGGATTACCTTGGCTCAGAAAGTACGAGCCAAGGGTGAGCTGGCAGCATCGATCCGTGAAGATGCCTGCCACATGTTCATCAGATGGCCATCTGATGAACGTCATGGAGCGTCCACAAGCGTGTGGATGTTCTGCGAGTGAGTGCGATGGCCTCACTTGCGGTACAGTCGTTAGCACGACTGCACAAGATCACAGTGTAGTTGATCACTATACTGTGGAGCAAGCTCCCGGCGGCTGTACAGAAGTACAGGCTGCGCCGAAGGTCCACCACTCGAATAAGTCGAGTGGACCGGGACATGGATGCATGCCTAGCGGGAAGCATCTTAGAAGTAAGAAACCTGTTGCCCCCAAGGGGCAACATGAAAATCCTAGGTCGACTGGAGAGTCGACCGTAGAGGATCGGTTCCTGACTGTGGTTGCACAGCCACAGTCGGAAGACGTCGAGGGAATAAGTCCCCACGTACTTGAGGAAGGAATTCCTCAAGATTCGCTTGCTGAGAGATTAGGCCCTCAGCAACCTGTGAAAGCAAGTCCCAGGAAGAAACCGAGACGTTGAACGTCTTGGTTAATGACGGATCAAGCGTAGGCGCTTATACGCTTGATCTGATTGTGCCTCCGAAGTTGACTTCGGAGATAACTCAGTTGCCAACGCTAGAACCGAAACGGTTCTTGCGTGATCTGCGTAGTGGCAAAGTCAAGCAGATCTGCATACTCGTCACAGAGGACGAGTATGTGACCGGCATTCGGTCGGCCACAGTATTTGCTGAGAACGAACGGATTCTCAGCAGCTCATCGATGGACGAAAGTGTCCTCGATGAGAAGACTCGGATTGAGCGATACGCTTCCCAATCCTGGGAGTCACTTCAGGCAAATCCTTTGTATAAGGATTTGATCGAATTCAGGGATGTGTTCCCTGAATCCGTACCTTGCGAGTTGCCTAAGGACAAAGGCACTCGACACGAGATCGAGCTCAAACCGGGCTCGAAATACTGTGTCATGAAGCAGTGGCCACTGCCTCGTGAACAAGTGATAGCGATCGACAAGTTCTTTGCCGATCACTTAGCAGCGGGCCATGTGAGGGAATCAACATCCCCTCACAGCTCTCCGACCTTCTGTGTGCGAAAGGCCACAGGAGGGTGGCGAATAGTGCACGCATTCAACAAGTTGAATGCTGCAACGGTACCGGCTCAGACGCCGATACCGAGAAAGTACG